TTTTTTTTTTGAGAATAAGAACAATGAGGTATGCAGTGTGGAGTCGTCAGATGGTCGGTACCTACGTGTGTCGAGTGTTTCGAAGTCGAGGTTTATCTATCGATCAGAACCTGGTTCATCCGAACAAAGGTAAGCGGAGGCTTCCAAGTTTCCAGTTTGTTATCTTGTTAATTGCCTAATAAACTGTTCCTGACGCCATTTCAGGTTCCACGTGAGTGACGATATATACCCGAAAGGAGCCCGTGAGCTATACGAATGTCTCCAGCTTGAGATCAAACGTCGAGAAGCATTGACGTAAAGGTGAAGTGCATTTACAAATGATCATGTGCGAACAACATTCCCGATTTGAACTCCTTCCTTTTTGATTCAGCGGGTATATAAGATATTTTTTCACTTGAACTCCACTCCTTTGTCTTTAGCGTGTAAGTATTGTTGGTTGAACCCTATGAGCTTCACCTGGTTATTCCTTAATCCGAACCGTTGGTGGTCTTTACTATTATTTACTCCTGGTTTTCAGTTCTGTTGCAGACCCTTACCCTTTGAGTTCACTATTCATATGCCGATATGAATTTAATAATACATTTTCCTTCTGTTTTTTTAGTCGTTTCGCCACTGCCAGTATTTTCGTGCCCTATTATTTGCCTTCCAATGTTGGAGATACTCCGATCGCTTAGAGTGTAACTCACGTTGTATTGTGTGATTTGCTACCTTTTGTCTTGTTAATGAAGAAATATAGTTTGCTTGTGGTCGACTGGTTTTCAGGTCTGAATACCCGGTACCTCAATTTGAATAGTATCCTCATTTAACGATCTTCTTGAGAGTTTTCCACAGGGTTATGATTCAAGGAAATAAGTGGTCCAATAAGTTAAAAAGGGTATGGAGCGTCTCAGTACACCCATATGCTTGCAGTTCTTCAAAGAGTAACGATGGGGAGGTGCAGGCATGAGTGTATTCCTGATGCAATAAAGGCCTCCGCCCTCATCCAGTCCGCCACTTTCGTTTCGAATTCTAATTTTTCGTTTCCTGTACCCTTCGGGATCTTTAGGATCTTTCCTCTGTGTGGGTCCTTCTCTTCAGCTAATCAGTGAGTTGCACAACTACCTGTTCAAGATGGGACTTGCTGTAGGGATTATAACGAACAACTCCCGGTTTTTATAAGGAGGACGGCCGACCTAATTACTAGATAAGTCGTTATAGGGCTGAAAAGAATTGCTTGAAGAAGTTTACTTCTTATAAAAGGGAAGTTAGTAAGGGTTACGCTTAATGAAGACGCATTGTCAGCCATATAGTTCTTGCAGAATGTCGGCTGTAATGGTTAAGCCGTGGACGAATTTAGAGCACTGGACACTCCTAACATTTTATAAAGGAGATTCAGAGGAGAATTGGTATGGATTCGTTAATATCGGTTCAGGATCCATGGTTTTTCTTTCTACTTCTTTCGTTTTCATCCTCGATTTCTGTCATTTCAGGTATACCCGTGCTGCTGCAGATATGGAAGCGACGAGGAAAGCTCGCATCGAGAAAAGACCGAAAGGATTCTTTACCCCGGCGGTCAGTCTGCACAGATTCGAGCTTTTCATGCGATGATTCGTTTCTTCGATTTTTGATTGAGTGCCTAGTTTTCAAGAAGTGCAAGGAAGAATTCGACAGAATAATGGCTGAGCCTTGTCCTTCCGATGTTCCTACTGGAGCCAACTACAGTAGAAGTGCGGTGGTGGACGCTTGGATCAACTACTTCACTGAAGAGGTCTCGAGCATTGATTCACATTAAGTCACAGCTCGTCACCGGTTTCTTCTAAGCGATGGAGTGATCATTTCTCTACCGTGCTTGCTTCTCCTACGACGGTGGGATACTTCAAGAAAATGCAACACTATCTCTTCTGTTCCTGGCTTGTTTCTGGGTGTAGTGCAGTAGGATGGAACTTGTCGCGCTGCGGCGAAAGGGGGCTGCGCGCGAAGGAATGTAACAGAATACAGCAGTAGGTGAAATATAGAGGAACAAAAGAACTAACAGTAGAATCAGCCTAAGATAATGATCGCATATCGATTGAGCTGTATGAAGAACGCAAGAGCTGTATCAACGGCAAAGCGAATGGTTCGCGACAGCCGCGATCCTACTGCCCGTCTCCCTTTGTTTTTCTTTGGGCTTCATTTTTACTGTCTGTCTCAGTGTGTTTATTTATATGAGAAACCCTGACTCTGGAATGTTGCAAGTTATAATGTTTTCGGTAATCCATCTTCTAGTGTAGGATTGTTGTCCACCACTGGTGCAGAATTTTCAGGACCGAAAAGACGCGGAGCTTTTTGACGAACTCATGCAAGTGAAAATTCGTTCCTATGTGAGTTTCCTCTTACTGTTTACCCAGCTATAGTGAAATCAAACCAGTTCAATTCATTTTAATTCCAGGAACACCCTAATTTTTTTTNTTTTTTTTCAGGAAGAGCGTCTAATGAAGGTATGGGGAAATCGGGACAGTTTCAAAGTTGAGCAGTTGGAGAAAATGCTAGAAGATTTGAAAAAGGAAGAAGACGAGGTGGGCTTACGCGTTCCAATGCTGAATGAAAACGTTATTTCCGTTCTTGGTGACTCGACTTTCTCGAATGCTACTTGTTTCCGGTCGAATATGACGAAGAAGAGGCCGAATACCGTGAACGCCTTGCTGCATATTATTACAAACATGTATCAGAGAAATTTCATAACGAAAGAGATAAGAAAGCGGCAAGTACTCGTCCCAGTTCTACTTTGGTAACTATTTCTCCAGTTTTGCTTTCTTCAGCATTATCTTAGAACGTGTAACTAGTCTACAACCACTCTTTTGATGCTTGAAATTACCTTCTGGGCTTTAATCAATAGATTAAAAATTTCTGTCTAGCCAACTCGCGTACTGCATTCGCCTCGCCGAATACTTAGTCAACGGCCGCGTGATGTCGAAAGCGCGGGCACTTCAAGCTCTCCTATGAAGTAAGTTCTGTAGTTTTCATTGCTTGCAGGATTTAGTTGTGAAACACATCTCGAGAAGAAAAAAACTATGAAATCCTCTGGTAATTCATCGAGAATTTCTTTTAGAAGTATTTGTTCATTTCATGGGGTAGATTAGTTTGGGACTAATGCACTGATTTCAATAATTTGTCGTTAGGCGACAGGTAATTTGAGGAAATAAGTACGTAATATGTGCTTTCCTCCTCAACTTTTCGTTTGTCTGTACCCTGATATTGGGTCTATATTGATTGGGAAAGCTTTACGTTCTTGATCGATGATTTCATATTTACACCTGATTCGGAAGTTCCATTTCTTCGCTGTTTCACAAAAAATGTATTAAATTCAGGTCTCCGAATCGGTCTTCCATAGGCGAAGACGAGCCTCTGACTGCTACAGTAAAAGAAGAGGAACCAAGTGTTAGTGAAATAGTTTAAATATCTCTCTGTCAGAGACTGCTAAGAAAGTAAGCATCCAGGTAGAAAAAATGGAGGTTGACGAGATTGAAACAAAGTTGTCGGATAGTGGTTTGGACTCTCCAAAAAGCCAGCAGGACACAAAGCGGCCGCGAGGCAGACCTCCAAAGAAGGTGTGTTTCGGGTGGTAGAAGTAAAGAAAGAGTCCTGGGACTTTTCAAGCATACAAGCTCTTTAGGCATCCACCGCAGCATCGCTTGTGGATGAATCGAGTGCTCGCGATGGATCTCCACTGTCGGTCAAAGCGCCAGAGGAACAGAAGTCACCTACACGTACTGAAACACGCCGAACCACACCTCGTGGGGAAATGAGTGCATCAGCAAGTGCGCCTACACTCACGGACAAGGATCCTATCCATGTCATTGATAGTCCGGCTGGGTGAGAGTCATTTGATTACTCTTCAAGTTGAAATTTTTCAATCAGTAACTAATTAGCGCATACATAACAGTGCTTGTACTAAGGGTGCTGGAAGCGTCTTGGAGAGGAAAGAAAGTTTTAAAAACTGGCTATTACTTTTGAAATCATTAAGATTTATCCTAGGGTAGCCAACTTGGAAATGGTGTAGGCTGCTAAAGAAACTGGAGCAGTTAGGGATGTGTGGGAGTATACAATGTAGTCGAAATGCTCGAAAACCTATCACTAAGTTGTTTATTGCACTGAAAAGAAAGTTTCCAGGCGTGTACGAGGAGCCCGACGACCTGTAGCAGTGGATTCACCTCTACTGAGCAAGTCTTCTAATGTCGGGCGTACAAGTGCTGGAGCGGATGCCCCGGACATAAGAGAAGGCAGCAGAGAACGCGAGTTTTTAAGAAGGTACTTTTTGTTTGCATTACCATTGTGAACAATGTAATTTCAATAATGAGTTGCATTGATATTTTTGATCGATTATTCGAATTTGTTATCATTGAGACTACTCCTAGATTGATCTTGGATGACCTACCTATGAGGTTGAATTTCCTTATATTTTGCGCTTACTCGCTTTAGCTTAGTATTTAGCTCTAGTCGCCAGAGTACCGACATCGCCTCACGTTCTGCTCCTGGAGTGGTCACAGATGACTTCGGAGGAACAGGAACACAGACTGCGATTTCTATTCAGGCGCCGCTTTCTGGCGGTGATGGAGATGCTTTGTCGGTGAGAATTATGGAAGTTTGAGAAAAATAAGAAGAGGGAGAACAAAAACTCATTGGGTACCACTCAGAGCCGCAAATCGTCGAGATCTGAGCGCAGAAGTGCACCAGCGACACCTTCTACTTCAACGAGTACGATCCGAAGCTCTGTAGGTGTTCAGACGGATGAAGTGCAATTTGGTACGGACGAGAATGTGAGTAGTATCAGCTTTAGACAGTGGTTTCGGCTTATTTTTCCATTTTCTGTTTGATTTTCCCCGTAAAATCCTACCAAGATCGGAAGAAATCAGTGCAATATAGATTGTGGTTGGGTGGCCTATCAGTGATCTACGAGTGATTGTTCCAACCACGTCTGCCCCTCTTGTAGTCAAGAGCGAAGTGGAGGTTTTGAAAACGGTACGTGATTTCCCTTTCGAAGCTAATGTTCCGCAGAGCGTCTGCAATAGAATATTTGTGCAGTGCATTGGTTAATATATGATATATTTCTCTAGGCACATTGTAAAACAGACCAAAGCTCGAGAATCGTTTCATGGGATGACGTCCTCGATGGCAGTTATGACAAGGTTTGTGTAAAATGATATCTTACCTGTTCATTTTTGAAGCTGTAAATGCTTGTGTCTGAATCTTCCTGATTCAAGGCTCCATACTTCTCAGATGGAGGTAAATCGGGAAATTTGAGCATTTGAGGGGTACCCACTTTGAGTTGACGTCATTTTTAACAGTTGTCGTTCGAATTTCTCTGATGATGCTCAATTTTTGAAGACACGCTAAGTGCTAAGTGATGGTTTTTCAATATCATATTTACAGAAAGCACCAGAGGTATCAAAACTAACAGAAGAGCGTGCTCATAACTGGGATGTATGCTTCTGTAATTTCAGTGAGGAAGCATTGCAAGGTAGGTAGAGTCGTTCTCTGATAGTTGCATGCTTAATTTTAATTTCATGATGTTCATGGTTTTCGGTTTTTAACTGGTACGGACTATTTGTGTTCTTTTTCATCGGTTTTATGCAAAATCCATGTTGCTTCCGTTCAAGGGTTGGTTATAATGCACACTAAGAAGTTCTTTTTGCAGTCGCCAAAGGTCTCGGCTTGACTCAGCCGTTCGACGTGAGGAGTGACATATCTCTGGTATCTTCTGCACCAAAGCGATCACGCAAAGAAGAAAAACTAAGTTCATCGCCACTGACACCGAAGGTAAGTTTTGAAGCTTATTCATTAACCGAGAAAATTGGTACCGTAAGGCACCAGTGCAGGAGTGACGTTAGGTCCTCATTCGGCCAAATGTGTAACCAAGAGGGAGTGCGACTCTGCAGAGGGAGTGCGACTCTGTCACATGAGTGAGACCTGTGATTACTTACATCGTATGAGACTATGTTTGTGTCGTTTGGTACCGTCCTTTTTAAGGGCCGAATGATGTCTACATGGAATACACTACAAGAGCATCGGCATTCGGCTATTTTCCTGCATCCAGTGACAGACAGAGATGCGCCTGGTTATAGCCGTATTGTCGTTCAGTAAGGATTTATGTGCGTCCAGAAGTATAAAGTTTTCTAATTTTATATTTCTAGGCCTGTGGATCTGACCACTTTGAAACGAGAAATCGATGGTAATGGCATAGCGAATCCAACAGTTTTACTGAAAAAGTTGGTTGCTTTTTTTTTCAAGGAATTTGGCTCCGAATTTTTCTCGCAGGGAATTCCAGCTTTATATTTAGGGTGTTTTTGATGTTTACAAATGCGATTATGTTCAACAGCACCGGTCACGATGTAAATTCCTACGCGAAAGAGATGTACAGAGCCACGATAGGAGAATGCACTTCGACGGTATGTCTGATAGTCGCAGAAGTCTAATAAAGCGGGCCCATATATCCGGAAATGATCGCTTTCAATGGATGTAGCGTCGACTCATAGATAAAGGAGCCTAGACAACAAGAAAAACAGTGAAATAGTTTGGTCTCCTAATGATTGGTGACTTCCCTGTACAAGAACTATCACTGCCTTTGTGATGAACGATTCTCATACCGGTGCTAAATTCAATAAGCAATTCAGTGAAAATCATGCTCAGAGAGCATGGTTTCTACAGACTTGCTGTTGTCTTTAGTCCTTTGGATCCTTTGACTGTGTGGGTGGGCCGAAATTGGTGCATTGAGGGCGATGGGCTCGGTTATGGGATTTATAACGACTTTCACCATAGTAACGTATGCTTATTTCCTTTGCCCTTTGAACGCCAGTGCGCACACATTGATATATGGCACCCCATTTTGATGATTTTGATATATTGCCGCTCTCTTGATGTGGTTACGATAGCGATGTTGTAATTCAGATTGATGAAAGAATGGATCCGTACCGAGGACATAATCGTAGGAGCAGACAACATGATGATGTAAGCCAGACTGAACATTTATAGCAGTCTTTGATTTCTGTATTTTGATATTCAATTGAAGATTTTTGTTTTCAGCCAAGGAGAAGGTCGAGCTTGACGCCTACGAGCCAGCCACGTGGTGCGATGAGGAAGAGGCTACAGTGAGATGGTATCAGCCAATGAAAGACTATTGTTTATATTTTACCCGATTTGGGTAGGTCTTCAATTTTAAGATGTTGAGAGCAGAGGTCAGAGCTTTAGCATGTCAGCATGTTTTTAGTTTACTGAAATGGTAGCTGATTTTGTGTATATTGTGATCACGCACTTATATATGATCTGTTTTGTTTATTTTTTCCGTGATAAGTGGAATAAACATGGGCATCAAAGTGCAAGTGAAGTTTTTGAAGAGTTGGGGTTCAGCAAGGACACACCCTGGGCGACTATCAAAACTCACTTTTAGATTCGTCTATTGCAGGTGAAGGGTTGTTGCGCTGAACGGTCTTCTTGAAAGGGTGCGACACGCTTTTGACTTTTATTGACGACCATAGCAGGAGTTGAATGCGTAATCGAACCGTGAAATACCTATGCCAGACGTGTCCAGCCTTAGACGATAAGTTTTTCTCGATCTTCATCTTTACAGGGGAACTGGCACCAGTATTTCAACAACGGGGAAGGGTGGGGAAATGATAAATCAGCTCGGATCGGTCTAGAATCAGATTTCGTGGTCTTGCATTTACACTGCTTAATAAGAAAACCGATGTCTTTTGCAAGGAACTAGAGAACCTTATCCTTAAAACTAGTTGCCCCCGGAAGGTCATTTCCATGCTATAAACCTTGCAGGATGGTTTCACAGAATAGGAGGGAGGGCTTGCTGCAAAAGAGGTGGTTGCCAATTTATCGAATTTAGTTCTTTGCATGAATTGTTTTGTCTACAATAGCTGCACGCGAGTGACGTTGCTTGGCAACATGGTCTCCATTCAATTACATTTGACGGCATTCAAAGAACTCTCTGGAACGTAATCCCGTGAGTTTTTGATTTTGGTTCATAAAATTTCTCCAAAACCACGGTAAAATTTCACAAAAATAGCTTTATATACATCAATTACGGAGATGAGGGTCTAGGTGTATGTGTGTAGTGACAGAACAAGAAAGAAAATCGTTGTCTCGCCATTTTCCCAGACATTAATATGAAATTGTCCCGTAAATAGTGAATTCACTTCGACATTCACGACATAACAGATAGTTGCTTTTTTGAATAGGAGATTTCTGGAACTGTTCTGCGGTCTGCAAACATCGTTAAAACTGATTCCAGGGCCATGTCGAGCGCGAATTCTGTGGTGACCGTATTCCAGAACCTATTCTCCAATCATGGATCAACATTACTAAATATAATCCTAGTCGTCTCTACAATCGGTGGCCAGTCGGTAAGTCTTTCTATTCCATTGCTGAAGCTACCCTGTCTTCCAACTACTCAGTTTTTGAAATGGGTACAACACTCTGATAATGGGGGATTGTTTTATCCGTGGAAAGCCTCTGGCTCATGTTATCGCCTAGACTGTTTTGTGCCACATGGAAGAACTTTCAGAAAGGGGATGATTACGGTGGAGACAGAACCATTTTTTGATTCCTTACACAATGACACTGATTGTCACGTGGACGTATCTAGCACGCTTGACAATGGGTTTTAATTTAAGAGAGATCTGCGATGATTCGGCCTGAATATCGAAAAAACGGAAGGATGAATCATTGGAAATTATAGGCTATGATGCAGTCGTCTGAAATGGTAATAGCAGCAAGCGGACATGCATGTGTCACCGGCAATGTTTTGTTTTCGCATAAAGTCGCACTCTATGGCGTTCAAATGGTACCCGCGATTTTATATAAGCATAAGGGCAGAGAATACTTTGAAATATGTGGCACGTTTTGTCAAAAGATTCCAAAAGAATGGTTGTTAGAGCACGGTATTGTCAAGTTAAGGGTGGCGGCACGGTATTTTCAACCTAAAGGCACAGTTCACGACAAAAATGGTTCCTGCGAGATCCCCATATGATGAATTTGAGGCCCCTTCTTATACCATATCTGGCGCTATCATGTCGGATTACGGCTTAGTTAGGGCGTTATGAAAGCTCAAAGATTGTCTCGTGTGTATACTCGGACGAGTTTCACCTGCATTACAGAGGCTGCACCTATCGCAGGAGAGCCAATGTAGGAAGTACAATTAATTTGTCATGACCCATTGCGGCAGTGAAAGGCAGTTCTGTTCAGTTCTGGCTTGATGTAGTCAGCCCTTTGCGCAATTGCAACAACCAAAATCTCGTCCGAATACCCCTTCCATGTTATTTCTGTCATGGTAATCTCGTCCAACCTCTATTTTCCCTACTTTTGAAAAGCCTTATTTTTCTCAGAATCTGCGAGTTTTCTCCCTTTTTTCAGTAACAATGAACTGCTTCCAACATATAATTTCGCTTTTCGACTGAAAAGGGTACGTCAAGATTATCGTAAACTGTGCCTTCAAAGGTGGCTGGAGGGTCTTATAAAGGGAATTGGAAAAGTTCCCCAGTAGAGGCTATTCAAAAAAAANAAAAAAAAGCCAATCCAAAGACCCGCTTTCCCTCCACCGCTGTCAAGCCAGCGGCTGGCATGACAGCAGTGTAAGGAGAGGGTACGATTAGGACCTGGAGATTAGTTACGTTTTTCTAACAATAATGCCCTCACTTCCACAGTAAGCCATAAGTGAAGAGATACAAAAAGCTTGAAGGGCCCCTCCCTTATATTGAAAACCTGTGGAAAGGAATACAAGTCAAATAATGCTCGATTAGAAGTTTCGATTCTTCAGATAATTCGCAAATTGACATTCTCATGTCCATGTGCGTATCCGCTCAATGTTTACCACTCACTGGTATTTATCGTCGGTCCGTCGACTGCTCTGTTTATTATCGGAATAGTTTTGAACACAACAACATGGAGAATTGTACACGGCACATGCTTCAGGTAGCAAATTAGAACGGAATTGCTGATTAAACTAATGAATAAATGGCGAGAAAAACGCCTTTCTATTAGGGTATCGAATGTATATTTGATTTTCAGTACGGATAGGAACTGTTATCACATGCATGGCCCATCCTTATAAAGAGAATATTGCCCCACGCCCTACCTTTCACTGGTGATAGTGTGGCAGACAAACTGTATTGTTTTTGACGAATCTGAGGCTTTACTTACCCCGGTAATGCTTTTGGTTTACCTTTACCTCAATTGGAACGGATACCATCTTTTTTGATCGAAAATGGAAAAATTGGTAATTAGATTCCTCCGAGTCGATCCACCTCTCAGCTTACTGTTCTTTCAATTCTTTCAAGAATTGCAAATAGAATTAGAATTTTCGGTGAAAAATCCATCGTGTACAGCAAAATCTTGTTAGGTAGACTCTGGGGGGCGCGCGATTCACGCGTGACCCCATTAGAGCTTTTCGCGCACGCAGCATCGTCTTTCTGTTGAGACGGACCAAATAAATTTGCAGTAGTTCACGGCTTACCATGAATAAAGCAAATCTCTTTGCTTTGGCAAAAAAGCCCCTTTGAGATTAGGAATTCATTTCATAGATCAACAATATTCTCGTCAAACGTTCAAAATGAGAATACCTTCAATTTTTTTGATCCTAATAAACGCAATTCTTCTGTAAACGAGCATAGTTGGTCATTTCTTTACTTATTCTACTTATAAGTTCTTATTTCTTCCGTTATGATGGTAGGCATGATGTTTTAGAGCGTTTTGCCCAATGACCTCATTATATTGACGCGTGAATCGCACCACACCCGTAGACTCTTCATAAGCGTATTTAGGGGTATTTAGGTATTAGGTGTCATTGTTTATAATTCTGTTGAAATGAATCCCAGAGTACCGGAAACTCGTCCTACATGGTCGACATTGTGTGCATCATGGGTGGAAATAGTAGCACAAGCGCTTCTTGCACCAGCCGCTTGGTTATTTGTGGTGTTCCTGGATGGAGGGTGAGTTCGATCCACTCAGCTGTTTGAGAGTTGTTTTCATAGCACTCTAAGGGAAAACAACAGGAAACAGGTAATCAAAGCAGAGATGTGCCAGAGGATCATATATGATCGTGAGATCGGAATCAGCTCTGCCTATACCAACTTCCTGTTTCCATTTCGGTTCTTGATACATCTTACACATAGCCATTACACGGGAATGAATGCTGCACATAATGATTCCAATTGAAAAAAAGCTCGTAGCGCATTCTCAGGGCGCGATCTCTAAATAAATAAATAAAGTAAATAACTAATCAAGACGTCTACCAATTATGCTACCACAACCTCTTCCTATTATTTCAGCTATTATCGTTGCCTAATGTCTCATAATTACTGTGCACTGAATACCGCTCATCTGTGCATGAACACCACTTTGCTCGACTACTATAGAAGCAGTGGAGATTTTTACGAAATGTCAGGCAATGGAAAGGTAAGCGGGATCTTTGGCTACCAAAAAGTCAGGAGGAGGTGGTGGTGTAGTACGAAGTAGAGCTTATCATAAACATGGTCCGAGGATCGAATCCAGACACGCGGAAGACAACCGAGCCTTATATCCCTCCGAGGTCAGTTCATTTTTACCAGACTCGTTTGGAGGATAAAAACACTCGGCATTGCCGGACTTTTGTCTTTGTATATGCACACTCCATTTCAATCGCCACAACGATTTTGAATGGGAGTCGAATGCAGGGCGCATCCCATAACGGATTGTTCAGAGACCCTGTTCTTTATTATGTTGTGTCGATAATATTCATTTGAATGAATGTTTATTTGCTCCTATACGATCGATAAAGCTGATGAAGATTTCAGTACTGTCCGCCGTGCATATGCAATTTGGAAGGCTGGGATGCTGCAAATCTGGAAGCTCAATCGCAAATATACGCCTGGATTATTGTTGTGTTGTTCGGTGTCGGCACATTTCTCGGTTAGTGTCTTTGTCCGGTCTTCTTTGTAGAAAATAATTTTTGTCCCTCCAAACCTTAATCAAATTCCCGTTTAGTATCGAATATAGAAACGAAATTTACCTCGAGACGTCCACCTGGAAATTTGAATACAGTAGCTCTTACCTTTCACGCTCGAGATTGGTGCCAGCTGTTTCTCTTGCAAAAATGAGTAGTTTTTCTTCAGATTCACTCTAAAGCTGATGCGTCCTAGGTTCTTTCTAAAAACCTGATTTTCCATTTGGCACTTCCCACTATAGTGAGCATATACAGCTCGGAACCTCACAGGGGTGATAGATAAATTAGTTAAAAAAGTGGAAGNNNGCAACGTTCAGATGCGATGAATTAGATTTGATTTTCATTGCCTTCTCTCCCCTTCACCCATTCGGGTAACTCATAAATAAAGACCAAAGAAATCTCATTCCGAAGAAGTAGATTGAACGGATGCAGCAAGCGAAAACTGCTGCGTGCAATTCCTTAGACCCTTTGGATCGGTAAAGTAAGACGCTAAGGGACAGAGCGTTTTCAAAGCTATCTAGAAAATACTGAAATTGCTGAGATCCTGTACCAATATTTTTTCATATTTTTTTACAACACCATTACGAAGGCATTATTTGTCAAGTTCACGATTTTTAGTGATCTGCGTTGTTCGAATGTGTGATAAGTACACCTACGTACAACATCAATACGTGGAGACGTATAAAAGTGAAGAAACAAATAAATTCGATAGCGTAGCCAAGGTATGCTTTTCTGCTACCAAACACTTTTCCAAAACTCTCAAACTTTCAAAAAAGGAAGATCATTCTTGATTACGGGATCCGTATTTCATCCGCTCCATTTGCTAATCTGACATCAAGCTGACTACTCATCCGGCTCCGTTGCTCGACACCAGCTAAGCTTCCAGAAAATTTAAATAATCGTAAATGCTCCCGATAGCGACCCTCGAGATCCTATTGAATTCTTACCGAAATCGAGTTATGAACGAATCCGACATTATCGCATCACTGCTTCTCCGTTAATCACCCCTCATATACTCTGATGCATCCATGTTTTTTTCCGAAGATAAGGAGGCTACAAGTCACACACCCCCCACCCCAAGGGTCAGTCCAAATCGAAATTTTTTTAGGAAGCTCTAGTCCCAATCTGTGCTGATCCGTTACAGTAAGACGTTTATTTTCATAGGAACATGCCTCACAACTTGCCGAACGCAATGCACGTGCATTCTTCAATCAAAAGGATTGGACAAAACGAGACTGGGATTGGGTTTCAGGTATCCTGTTATGAAGTAATTCGGACCCACTCCACTGATTTACCATTTGAATCTCAGACTAGGGCTCCCACGTGGTACCATACGTTGTCACTGTGAGTCTCTATCCCTTTACAATTTTAAATAAAAATTTGAATTTTCAGGTGTGGCAGAAATTAATAATCCTATGTTTGCAAGACTTCGGCTAATAGCTGCAGAAAAGACGAAGACGACCATGTACACGCCTCTTCAGCTCTGGAACGATCACAAGGTTGAACTCTTCTATCCGGTCAATTGCTCAAACTCAAAAGGCCTCTTCGTTTCTAAACTTTTGCTGCTCTGCACTGAATATACCGGGACTTCATATTCCAGCGTTCTAGAAACTGCAGTGCACAGACGAGCGACGAAAGGATCGTTTTCACACTCCTTGTGCGATTACCTTCCAAGGGACAATAGTAGCATATGGGATGGGGAATATGAAAGGCACCCACATGAATAGCTCGTTAATTCATTCAGTACTAATGTGAATCTACCCTTCTCGGCATCGACTTTTGCTTGCCCGGCGGAACTGTCTGTCCGAGATGTTTACCCATTTGTGCCAAGTAGGTATGATAGGCAAAGCCAGTGCAGTCTTCCCATTAGACGAAGAATAGACTAGGTACCATCTAGGTAGATGTGGCCCCTTAAGCTTTTTCTAACTGGAGTCGCTCTAAACGACGATAGGGCCTGGGCTACTCAAACGTAACTGGGAGCGCGAGGCGAGGGAAATGCGGTAAAGGAGAGGCCCGGAGAGCCATGATTCAGCAGTTTCTAAGTTGCCTGCACTATGACTTAGGAAGAAACGAATGTTAGGGCCTTCAGTAACACGCCCGTTGACGTTGGCATCGTTGCTTTCAAAATTGATCTCCAACACGCGAACTCGGATGAAATCTCAAATTTTTCTTCGCAATTGCTTATCTGAATTGAGAAATTGCGCAATTTCAGGGCTATCGCATTCTACAACCGGAGGTGCTGGCCGTTGACGAGACACAAGCGGCTGGTGTCATTGTCCCGGACGATATAGCTGTTGGCAACAAGTTCGATGGTCATAATACTGGTTGATTCTCTTTAAGATACTCCATTTCAAACTTTACCGGTTTCGATTTCTGTGATACTTGTGATATTGTGGCTTGGAACTTCTACTGTCTGTATAGAATTTTGTGATAGGCGCTCTTGTCGTGAGAAAATAGCCTAGTTCGGAGGCTAGTTGATAGACAATGTTTTCTAGTTTGTCAATAGTATTGCTGGATAGTTATCTTGCATAATATAACCTACTTGTTTCATAAATTGCATTAAATAAATCGATTGAACAACTGGTCGCAGCAAACCAAAAGAAAAGCGAGGTATTCTGTAAAAGTCAATGTAACGTAGATTTGAGAGAACTTTTTTCCATATTAAGAAAACGATGAGGTAAATTTCCCTCTATGTGTTGATTGGTTCACTCTCAGATTGGAAAAAATTCACTTTCATCGGGGGTATTTTGGATTCTACCTATTTTACACCCATCAACAGATGTAGGCGACACAGTGTCTGAAGGCGGAGCGTCAGGCGGGATATACCCGCCAGGGACAAGATTTTGTCGGAATTGGATTTATTTGGTCATTCTTCCAAGACTCTTTAGTGAGTTTCAATCTTGATGACCTCACATTAGGAGTTCCATCTAGATCCCTCCAATACGACAATGTTGAAAACTTTTCCTAACAAGGCATTCTGACACTACTATACTTAACTTGTCCAAAAGGGAAGGTAGGGGAAGTGGGAGAGGGAACCCCTCACTCTCTTATGGTACTGGTAATGCGATTTGCGCATGTACCACTATACGATCTTCTTAAGGTTTTTTCTAAATCTTAACTACAACGTTCTTGGGCCTGTACTACTCAAAGTGGTATACGGGGGGAAGGAAAGAGGGTACCCACCAATTTTCTGCTGACTTTATGCTGAAAACCAGTTTTCTGAAGCTGTAGGAGGGATAAATCCATGAAGCTTTCTGTAAAAGCAGCTACGACCTAAAGTCGCCCCTGCAGACTAAGATCAGCCTTTTAACGAGTTCTCCTACCGTGATCTGATTCTTATTATCAACATAGGGATGGCTATAACAGTATTTTGAGGATGAGGATTTTCGCTTATGTCCAGAGCGTTTCCAAGTGATCATCAATTTGGGATGGAGGCCAAACATGTGGCGCATTCCTAGCATATCAAACAACATTGCGACAATATATCTTCATTCCATAAAGAAATTTTGTTGAAACAATAAGTGAAATGACAGTTGGCTGTAAATAAATGTAAATATAAATATATAAATATACAAACATCTTTCAGTAACTTCTTATAGTAGCATCAGTTCTCGAATCGAACGACCTTACTTTTAGAGCTAGACATGCTGAATAATAAGAGGATCACTATGGCCAGCAGAACAGAGACGACCACCAGAGCAGCAATCATCAGCGAGTAGTGGAGTGGTGTGACGCATTTGGACGAGGTTTCAGAAGATTTACTTTCTGAAATGGGACCATTAAATTTAGGTAATGAATATGACGGCCTCTAAAAAAAACAAATCACAAAATTATCAAAAAACCCCTTCAACCCATCACAGGAAGGCTATAGCCTTTAAAGCAGCTTTTGGCCTCGAATGGGAATCGAACCTGTGCTCAGGTACTGCCACAGCTGAGCTTATCTATTCCGCTATGAAAGCCCATCGCCTACCTGCCAACCACCTGATTCAGTACTAAACATATTTACTGAAACCTAGTGTCCGGGAAGGAAAAATGTTAAGAAGGGTTCCGACCGAAGTCGTCGGCCGCGACATTTTTTGAAGTATCTTTGTCATATAAAGCTACTATGCCACTCAAAAAGGAATCATTCGAAGAGAGTCCCGAGAAGAACTCGAAGAGTGCCCTCCGGTTGGTTCGAGTTCTTTAGAAACCTCAAAGATCATGAATAAAAGGAAAATTGCTTCTTGGGACATGTCTTAGGCTCCTTTCCTCTTCTTCTTCTTCAAGATCTTTTCAGGCGGTAGGTGAACAACTGCTTTGCAGTTCAGATTTCTTCGGCCCCCTTCCGCTGTCTTCATCCGACGAAAATGATCGCCAAGTTCACTTGACACCGGTCGATATGCGTGATCGTCGGAATCTATCCGGTTGCTAGTAGGAGGGATCCACTTGAATACACCCACTCACACGTTTCTATGCCACTGAGGTTCACGTCAGGTTATTTCATTCTGGTTCATGGGAGTATGAAAATGGCATGATCTTCACCTGATAGATTCTTTTATTGCTTTGACCACTGGCACATGGATCGGAGCAAACGATGCTTTTTAAGAACAGATTTGATTTTTTCGCGGAAGAAAAACGAATCACCTTTCCACCTTTAAGAATGTCTTCGTGGAGGAGTAGGGAAAGAATTGGGGGTGGGGAGAATTTGGGTAGGGAATGAAGGTGTCTGAGAGGGTGGGCGGAAGATGTGGTCAGGGAGGGGGGAGGAATTGTTCATACAAATAAACATATGTTCATAAATACATGCAAAAACATCGAGTGAATACCAGCACACCGAACTTGCAGGGATACATTCGCTGAATCCAAAGCAAAAGAGCCTCGTAGTGCTCGTTGAACTGTGAGGTCTACAGTTAGAGACAACAATGGGATCGAACTCACCAAAGTACATAACATCCTCAGGCGAGTCAAGTACCCTCAACTCGCCGACCAGATCCACTTCCGGATAACCCTTTGACGTTGTGAATCGCGCTTCGGACAGTTCACGGCGATTTCGTGGTGAATCATATCTGGAAACGGATGCGTATAAGGGTTTACCGAAACCAATTTCAAAACCGGAAATGCGTTTTTCCCCATCTATTTTTTATTAGTCGGCAGCACATTAGCGACCACTATCAATTTTCTATGAAACTCCGCAATTTTTGGTTCCGACTTTAAATCATAGGCAACATTATTTTAGGTTGAACCTCGCGGTACAGTATTAGATTAAGAGTTACAAATTAGGCCTACGGTCCACAAATCCCCTAGACATTCAGCAGTAAATTGTTGACCAAAATAAAAACGGTTAATCAGCTCACCCGTATCCAAAATAGATGCTACCGATGGTAGTATTTTGTTTGAAATCATTTTCGGGTTTGCTAGCTGGCGGTCGTACATCATCTGGGAACTCCTGAACACCCTCATCGACTGAATTGGAGCCTGGCCTGGAAAGTGTATCAGATTGGTTTCTCATGGGCTTTGCTTGCTTTTGGAACAGCTGTTGAGTGATGGCAGCCCTCAAACCGATTTTTTGGATCTCTTGGGGAAGAGAGAATCGATGTCACGGAAGTATGTCCCTCAACGCACGCATCTCTATCGCAGGCACACGGACATGTCAGGATTACTGTGTACTTATTGAGTAGGGAAAGTTAGTCGACGGCTTTGCCCTTATTTGACTTTATCAAAATAGCAAAAGACATCCGAACGTCACAATAAGCTCTGCAACTCAGGAACTTACGCCCCTTACAGGAATGCCCGCTCCCAAATGAACAAGGGTCTAGGTATAGAAGCGTTAAAATCCAGCGTATGCCTACTTATTCAGGCTTGCTTATCGTCCATTTAGGCTTGCCACTGTGACTTAATACTAATAAATGAGGTTGAATTTACGAAATGACGAACTCTTCGAACGTCATTATCCTCTTCACATCACTGCGAGGTGGTTCACGCAAAGCCTTGGCTTGCAGAAGTCGTTGCTCAAAAGTGGGACACGTCGTCGGCGGCTGTAATAAACGATAAAATAATACTTTGCCGACAGCTCAACGACATAACATTTCCAAAGCGAGCTTCACTGCTCCCTGCTCCCTACGGTCCCGGTAATCCTTACTAAACATGAAACGCTGCGATTGTGTGTATCATGAAAATCGGCAACACCTGAATAAAGACTCAGAAAGGTGAGAGGTTTCCGCTAAAATTGGCAGTGGTTAACGAAAAACAGCACCTCCAGAAACCCCAATTCGATTAAAAAATAGACATGAAGCATGGTGAAGATGAGTGTAGGAAAGCAACGGATTCACGNTTACTAAACATGAAACGCTGCGATTGTGTGTATCATGAAAATCGGCAACACCTGAATAAAGACTCAGAAAGGTGTGAGGTTTCCGCTAAAATTGGCAGGCAGTGGTTAACGAAAAACAGCACCTCCAGAAACCCCAATTCGATTAAAAAATAGACATGAAGCATGGTGAAGATGAGTGTAGGAAAGCAACGGATTCACGGTTAAAACAAAAAGATCTAAATGACAAAGAGTAGTGGGCGGAGCGTTCCACGAGTGGGCGTTCCTCTCTGTGGAAAATCACAACTAGTTCCTAAGACGTCTCTGCTATACTAAGAAAAAAAAAATGCTGACAATTAACAGTGTTAAGTATTTCGAGCACGCAACAAAGGCGTGGTAGCAGTCTTCTGAGTGGCTTACTGGGAACAGAGAAAAGAGAGAGGGAAGGTGTCAGTGAGTCTTTGCGAAGCGGCTCACAACCGACATCAAACTTCTCCTTTTGAAAAATTATCTTCAATTCTATTTTTAATATACATATCCGAAGATAAAAATAGGGTTACTGTAGTAATTTGAGACTGAATAATCATAAGCTGAATTACATGAGCCGAAGCTTTCATACCGAACGAATTGGCCAGTTAAGCGAAGACAGTCCCTGCTTGTCAGCCTTATTTATATATTTTTTATCATAGTTAGCGACTTACCGTCAACTTTTTGCATTCGTCACTTTGTAGACAAATTCGAATTTGACAAATAAAACGAGTGACAGTTTTACGAGCGAATTTGAACACGTGTGTCTCCTAAAACAAGAAGCCAAATTCCTCAAATTCCTGACCGATTTTTTTNTTTTTTTATATATTAGAATGAGCAAAATTTCACTGCAACAGTAGTATTTGCAATACCAAACAGTTTATTTTATACGATCAGGTTTTTGAGCCTAATCCCGACAGTCGATCAATATACCGGTTTTTTCTCATCCACGACTCAAAATTTGCCAAGCATGTAGTGGAGCTTCAGAAAAACGGCCAATTCGGCTGCCGAAAATCATTGTCAAGAACCCGCGAGAGCTTCTGACTACAGAGCTCGTGACTGCCGAATCATCATACTGTATCCCCATCCTTGAACTACCGCAACCTATTTAGAAACTATATTTTTAGGCAGTTTCTTCACTCCGTTTACTGGTTTACAATGTCGATAAAGAACTTGTTTACAGTGGCGCACCTGAAAAGCAGTTGTTAGGTCTTCACTGTATTCCGGTGTAGGCATGATGTACTGATCTACTCCACATCTAAAAATGGTGAAGGACTGACAAAATAGAACTTCAAATCTCATCAAGAATAAACAAACCAACAATCCCTGCTGACACGCTACTAGCTGACAGCAGCGACAACAACAATAACAACAACAACAAGTAGAGTAGGTTAAGCGAGAGATACTATACTCTTCCGAAGAGGAAGAGCCCCAACAAGCCTCTATAACTTCCGGGAGTCAATGGAGAGAGATTTCAAAGTCACAGAAGTCTACTACAGGGATTTTGAGCCTTATGTTACCGGCGGGGTGGTGTGTCCAGTTGTTGTACCCCCAGCTCATAAGGCCCATAGACTTCGCTCACCTTTGGATCGAGAGCTACGGTTTCCGATGGTCATTTTCAATAGACATCGGGATTTTGTTATCTATACTGGTCATGCTTACTGTTTACTTACCCATTTTGATCGATAACCAGTATTCGATCGCCTTGTCCATCTTCAACAAAGCAGTTTTGAACGAGAATGCCAAAGTTCTCTGGAAATCTTCAGAATTAGCTAAACACCAACTTCAGTTGGAGTGTGATCTCACCTCCAGGACAACGCCATACATGGTAGACACTTTCGCCCACGGAGGCAAACCGGACCTCTGGTCCACTTTCCGATCCTTTGCGTATGGTATACGAGCACTTAGGCATCTTTTGCACGTCAAATTGTGGAGCTAATTCGGTTGGGAGTGATTCGCTGTAATAAAATGATAAAGTGGTAATGATTAGGTGTGTGTGTAACACGAATCTTGATCCACCCAGAGTGCGCGGCTTAGCTAGTTGTCTCGCTGGGAACATGTCAACTAGTTAGTTGTCCTGTCGCGAAGCAACTCGTTCAGACAACAAATGCGGCAAGCATGGAGGTGCATGACCCTCATTTGGAGCAATCGTTGTCATTGAAATAAGCACTATCTGGGAGGGACCCACCGATACCAATGCGCCTCCGGTGGACCAAATGTCCTACTCCCAATCCTTTTTTTCCTATCTTCGCTAAGCCTAAACTCTCCTTCCGACTTGCCAAAATAAATTGTTTCATAAGAACCGCTGAGGAAATGGTGACCAACCTGATATCCAATGTCGACTCAAAGTCGTCAAGTACTTGACTTTGTACATAAACGCACTGAGCACAGTAGTTTCGATCCGATTCAGTTACGAACAACGGATGTAATTGAACGGAGATACATACTCGTTGAATGACTCCTGACGGATTATCCTTAACAAGAAATGTGGAGCTCAGAAGCATTGCATCTCATCACCTTCATAATTTCGACCTGTAAATTAATGCATAGCGCAACCCAGGCAAGTGTGGGCACCTGATTCCTACAGTAACCTTGCCGTGGGAAGGAATGTGGCGGACGTGAGTTCTTGCACACAACACTATTCGTTTTACGACAATTTTCAATTTCTTTCAATGAGTGGCCTAATGGCACCCCATAACCCGTTGAGTACGCAACGAAATTCACACGGACAAGGAGTGCTCTGCAGTTATGTTGGTTCGTTCTGGAGCTGTGTCTAGACCTTCGAGCTAGGACCCGACTGATGTAGGATGCACGCGTTCCGTCCCGAATCTTGTTTTTGGGCTGACGGTAAGCAGTTTTTATCAGGATCTTACCGTTCTTTCGGTGCTCATACCACATTTTCCATGCCTCAGTGCGACTTTGTTCATGTTACGTGACGAACAGTCGGGATCATCAGCAAAATCGTCGGCGTAGATATGAGATGGATTCGATGACGAAGTTTTTATCTAAAACTGTCCACTCAATCATGGAAATTGACAAAGAGCCAAGGTAATTGTCTGGAAAGGTCAGGATAAGTGCGAACTCTGCAATAGCAATGTGGCCAACTACGAACATGAACGTGTACGGCTAACCGGTCAAGGCCCAAGGTCGCACTTTCAAAAAGAATTTATTACCACACCCATGAGATGGCACAACATCGGTTCGATTCGGTTTGAACAAGACGGAGGAGGGACCGATATATAAGCTGATCTTGAGCTTACCTTGATAACGATTCGCTCCGGTTCACAGAGTACCAATGGAGGATCAACGATCTCATTTGGGTATTTTACTCCCACAGAAACTTGCCATAACATCAATGAGATCACCACAAGCTCCATCTGAATCAATACGTATACGAAACATAGGACTCAAATAAAAAGGTGAGTGAAGAGAAGACACGGATAGACAGCTAGGTCAATGTAGAGGGGTTAAGGAAGTCCTGCTGAACTCTGAGTGCTCTCGGAATCGAAAGAGCAAAAGAGGTACAGGACCAAAAAAGTCGGATTATGACCGCGAGGTCGTTTAGCTGCAAAAGGCGACCGAAATTTCCCATGATAACAGAAATTTGAGGTCAAGTGATCAGGATTTTCGCGTAGTCAACGGGAAGGAACGTTTTTTCCAGATAAAAGCCTTTTCAGGTTACAGCTTGGGTGAATTACCCTTCCGGAGCGGTACTAGAGAAAAAGGGTGGATGTGGGAGCTCTGATGAAAGATAAAGCCATCGAATGCGGCAGGATTTGGCGTTTCGAGGAAAGTGAACCACTTCAAATGCAGGGTATTTCTGCTTCCCATACATATACAGGAACAGTTTTTAGTAGCTTCTGAGAAGCTGTGGGAGAGCGACGACGACGACGACGACGATGAGTGGCTTGTTGCAACAAGCTGGCCGAGGAATGTTTAGAGTCGGTCAGAAGCCAGAAGTCGCTCTACGATCAAGGAGGAGTCCGAAGAGCCTCTTCGGTCGACGATAGACGTATACGCACGGGCACTTCACATTCAACACAGTCGCCCATCGACTGAAGTCGCCTAAAGGGCCCGGTTTTGGGAAACAGCGAAAACGACGGATTCTAGGAACTGTGGATGGGTTTGGGATATCAAGCAACCGTTTCCCCCAGAGCAGCGGTTGCTTACGGTAGCCATACCGTAGGATTACCTAGGTTCCTTCCAGCATGGGGTTTTTCGAAAACGACAACGCCAATTACGACTAGGCAACGCTTTTTGAATTCCAAGTTTCACTCTTGTAAAGAGTTTCATTACGAGGAGCCAAGTGTCTGTTGGGTCCTTGGAGCCAGAAATTGATCAACAACTCGATAAGCATTCCATCTGCTAACTTCTACTGGATGGGGAGGTTAGGCCAGTAGATGACGAGTTTGGAGAGTGAAGACGATGTGTACAGGATTTCTCATACGTGGTTCCAGTTCATATTTCGGAGAAGGCGAAAAACCAACATACCCGATGTAGGTTAGACCATTGGGTAGCCGGAATTAATCGAAAAAGAAAGTCTTTGTAGGCTAGACAATACTTAGTTCCAGTTCATATCTCGGAGACGACGAGCGTACCAAGCGTACGACTCCCAATACCGCCCATGATAGAATTCTCTCGCTCTGGTGATGTGGCTGTAAGTCAACTAGCAAATATCCCCTTGTCTGCACAACAACACGGGCACATTGCTCCAATTCTTCTAACTCCCTTCCTCGTTACGCACGCCACAATGACAACATTCTTTTCCGTCCAAGCTTTGACTATCAACTTATTAGCTGTCCTATGAGTAGGGGAGTGTGGCTGGGAGATGTCCTGAAGGATTCTGACTGTTGCAGTGGGGTCCTAAAAGGCAGATTACAGAAGGGGGCGAATGATAGCAGGTCAACTAGCGAAGAATCACAGCGTGCTCGCGCTAATCGAGTCTTTTGGGCCCTGCTTGTGGTTGGGACTCCATGTTGATAAGTACTTTAGGGTTTTATTGAACTGTCCCAAACCCCAAAACTCCAACCTGAAACTTACTCAGCGAAACGTTGTTCGAAGGACTTGGAGATTTCATGAATAATTCCTGAGATGCAAGTAAGTTGGAAATGTCCCTGACGGTGCGCAGGTGACAGGTGATAACCCTTTCCGCTTCAGCATTCTCATCCCATCTGAATCAGAAGCATTTCATGGAGTTTCTTTACCGATATAGCAATACGCTAAACCATTACGGGTAGCCTGTAACGATGGTTAAACTTACCTCTTGCTTCTTTTGCATCATGGAGTAAGTGGTCGAGAAGCCTCCCCTCCGATTCCCTGAAATAGCGTCTCGTAAGAATTATGGGACCAAAGCTCTGCTCAAGAACTTTTTGAGGTACACCATGCGTTTGATTTCACAAAATAGAATTCGCAGTCGGCGGATTTCGTGTTACAGTACCTAGTAAGGTAGCAAATACCACGTGACGACTGAGGAAAGCTAATGACGAGCACATGCACAAGCTAATGATGAGAGAGGATGGAAAATGTTCAGATGACGCTGTATCATGATCGGGCTTTTGGACCAGGACCAGGACGAACCACCGGAATTACCTGAATCACAAGATCCAAAGACTTTTAAGCCTGAATCTCTGAGTATTTTTGTATTCCATTCAGAGTGGTTAACGTACTCGAATTTGTAGGCCTAAACCGTAACATGATTGGGAGACCCACTAACTAGAGCTTCGAACTGCTCCCAGAGGATAAAACCGTACTTACAGGGTCTTTATCCTCTTGGAGCACTCCGAGACCATTCAAATGACCCCGAAAGGATGTCGGCTTTACCCTAGTGAGTACCCGATCTGGGATTCGATCGCCTTACCTCGTGTATTGAAGTGGCACTTCTTGACACGATCATATTTCCATCTTCCTGCTCCTTTCGGCCATACTCCTTCCGGTCCTGAGTTGATTTCACTCATTGAAGCTGAATATCGTCCAAAACGAGATGTACAAATCTAGAATCACCTCCAAACAGCTTGCGAAAGTGCCCAAGCGATGATGCTGGCCTCTCATGATGAAAACCACTAAAGAAGCGGCTCTTATGAGATGCTTATGGTTTTAGGCACTTAGTGAAGTGACATTTCGGTAAAAAAAAGGGTGCTACACCGCTCAGCTGAGATCGTAGTGCTAACAAACTTTGCCTTTCTAAGGGATTCCAGGGACTCTAAAAACTTCCAGTCACCTGCCGGAAGAAATTGTCAACAAGTGTCAAAGGGCTACGCCACGAATTTTACATGCATTTGAAACATAAAATATTGGCTTTTGACCTTACAATGCAATTTATTGAGTTTGGGTGAAAATGTGGTTGGGGAGAGGGGGACCACCGCTCCTTCGCAACGCTTAGCGCCAGGGCGCAGAGAAGGAGCGCTAGCCGACATCTACCTGTACCAAGCGACGGTTTTTCGTCAGAAGAATATAGTTTCACCTCGGCCTTGAAAGGGAAGCAGCAGCAAGGTGGATGAGATGACTACTTCGAGCAGGAAGCTGGGAGTCACCCCTGGGCTCCATCCCTCGAATGGCTCAGGTTGAGATAAAGCCATATGTTTTTGGCTGAGAAACGTTCCTAAGCACCATTATGAGGTCGGCTATCCGTCCCTCTCTGCGCTGTAGCGTTCAATGTTGGGAAAGAGCGGTGCCCATTCCCTACCCCCTATTCCCTATCCCCAATATTTTCTATCACCAATTGCCCAGGCACGGGTGGGACATATGCCATCACGGCATAGGAGCTGACACAATCCCACTGCGGGACCCTTCCGGGCTAACTACCTGTCGCCAACCGATGAGTTGATACTAGTTGTGACTAGAATTATCGAATTGTGCTACTTACCCGTCTACTGGTTCCTGTAACTCGCTGCATAGGTTAAGTGCATATTGGAATATCGGCAGAATTCCCAATAGAAGTCGGATGCATGTGGTTTCCAGAATGAACCAAAGCAGCGACGTTTTCAACGGCTTCACCAATCGGTCATTCTAAAGAGTCCCCTCACCTCTTTAACCACGTATTGAAAGCTTCTGGATAGTCTGCATCGGATCTAATCCCAAGGAGCCCAGATAAGGTAGGCGCCTGGAATAGAATAAACAAATATATAAATAAATGAAGTAGTAGTCACAAGCAAAAACTTTTCAAGGCTACAATTTTCGAGAAGAAATTGAAAAGGCGTGAAAGAAATGATGGTCTGGTACAGAAGGGCTGCAGGGGCGAAAATATTGGCTGGCTGATCAAATCCATGCTGGCAGATCTACGGCTATCTCGACAGTTAGTGGCATTCGCTTTCTGTATTCCAATGCGGGACCCTTCGCCAATAGAAGCATTCATTGTGATTTCAAACAAAAATGAGATACAGGGCAAATCCGAAGTGGGAAGAATGACGGGGTTCTTCGCTACTAGAAATTACAACGTTTAATGTTAGGCTACAAGCCAGGCTCAGGCTTGCTCGAATGCTCCCGAAGCTACGTCGCATGACGACACATCCTATGAATTGCTTTTAGACTTCAAGGCTTGCCTGATAATGTTGAAGAGGGTGATGGGGGTGCTATCACATGCGTATTTTCGAGATTGAATCCTCAATGGTACCGGACTACATACTCCAATCAAATCATTCATCAGTTTGTGTTGATTCAAAAAACGAAAGCATTAACTCACACAGCAGTTCGCCTCCCTAAAGGCACCGTTAGCAATAAATTTAGGGTACCCTTTTTTGACGGGAATTGATAGAACTACTCTAAAATAAAGTGATTACAACGAAAAAAAGCGCAAAAACGATGAACTAAAAGAATCACAAATGGTCAAAAAAGANGAGTTGTTGGAAATGTTCAGATGACGCTGTATCATGATCGGGCTTTTGGACCAGGACCAGGACGAACCACCGGAATTACCTG